TTCTTCTTTATACTCTTGAGGGTTTTTGACTTTTTCTTTGCAGTAAGCATACATTATTATGCTAATTTAAAAAGCCATGGTTACAAGAGAAAATCTGGAAATCACCTGCTATGCATTGACCGTTACTATACACCATGCCTTACAAAAGGAGGTTTGACATACCGTAATTCACATGTTGTAACTGGCAAGATTGATGTGCCATTCGATATGTGCCCATTCGATAAATGCGGAAGCTGACCATTGTGAAGGGCGAGCACTTTGCCTATGGACCCACATCTACGCTTCTTTAAAATAATTTTTTTAACGTTTATTTTTGAGAGAGACAGAATGTGAGTGGGGGAGGGGCAGAGAGAGAAGGAGACACAGAATCCGAAACAGGCTCCAGGCTCTGAGCTGTCAGCACAGAGCCTGCCGCGGGGCTCGAACTCACAAACAGTGAGATCGCGACCTGAGCCGAAGTCAGACGCTCAACCGCCTGAGCCGCCGGGGTGCCCCCCACAGCTGTATTTCTAATTCCACTCTTCTGATGGGAAGCCGGCGCTCTTGCTACTAAAGCCCAGCTTCTTCTGGAGGAATCCAAGGAGTATTAGGTGTGGACCCTGCCCTCCAGGCCCCTGGTCTTCTGCCTCCATGTTGGGCTCTGGAGTCACCCGCCTCTGCCCTGAACACCATTGACATAGAGGCTTTGCCAAGAATGCATCTCCCCCCCTCCACCCCCCATGTCACAGGTGAAACCTGAACGCTGTCCCTTTGATATTTTCTCCTAATGAGCCTTCCCGAGCTTCTTGCCTTTTTAGGATGGAAACAAGCACTCTGCTGCTATCTTCTTCATATTTATCAGCTCGGTTTACTGGCAGAGCGGAAGAGGGAACGGACATTGTATACATAAATATCATAAAACCCACAGAGGGCTGGCGAGCCTGAGTTCTTAATCCAGGCTCCATCACTCACAATTTGCAACCCAAAGAAGTCTCTCTCTCTCTCTGTTTTCTCTGTCTCTAAAAGTAAATAAAGGATAATCCATTAGAAGAAATCAATGGGTGTTCTGAGGAAAGGAGGGGGCATAGACAACTCCAAGTTGGGCTGAAAATACAATGTTTCTCAAGGTTTTGCTAATGGGGGATATGGACAAAGGCCAGTCTGCACCCCACCCCATAGGATCTCAGCTGGAGCACGGCGACATCTCTTACCTGGTCTCCCAGCTCCATTGCTTTTGTTCATCCTTCTCCCCAGCTCTCACCTGCAGGGCACCCCTCAGTCCTTACCCTACCCTGCATGCAGAGTTTCCAAGAGAGGCCCTGGCATCATGCCTCAGGGCCTTTGCACAGGCAGTCCCCTTTGTCTGGAGTGCCCTTCCCCAGCGAGTGTCAGGTATTCCCCCGCAAGGTCCCCGGAAACTCTTCCCCGCTCACCAGATCTGAGCTTCACAAGGGCACAACCTCAGTTATCTCCAATCTGCCGCCGGGCCCTGCCCAGAGATGGACATAGGAAAGGGCCAGCCAAGGGCAAAACCAAAGGCTTCTCTCCGTTATCTCCAGGATGGGCAAAACCTGTCCAACAGATCTGGGGTAGAATTGTTTCTGTGCTTACTGCCCCCTCCGTTTGGGACGAGACGCTTTGCAATATTCTCTTTTTCCAAACCCAACATTTTAGCACCAAAACGAATGTGTTTTTATGTGCACGCTGCAGCAGTTTGCCTTCTGCCCCTGAGCCCTTACAGAAGGTGATCTAAGCAAATCTCAGCCTGGAAAACCACCAGGCTGGTTCTCACGGCAGAAGTGTCAACGGTGAACCACCGAGTCCGACTGGGGACCACCCACCTGCGGGCTGCCTCGCACGCCATCCACGCCAGGACGGGGAACCTTTTGGGGTGGGACCCCAGCCAAGGACGGAGCAGGGGACGTGCCTGAGGCATCGTGTTTGTTTCCGAACACTGGCTCCAAGACTCCACCGGCCCATGAGTCCCCAGCTGCCCACTGGCCTGGTCTCCCCCTGCCCTCTCGGTGGGTGGACCCCAGCCATGTCAGCGAGCAACACGACAGTCCAGGCCAGGGAGCAAACGAGGCCAGGCCCTGGCCCCAGCCCCAGGCTGCTCCTCACAGAAGGAAGGAAAGCATGGAGGGCGGGGAGAACCTCCCCCACTCACCCCTGCCCTAAGAGATGGGGGAGAACCCATTTCCTGTGTGCTCCCAGAGCAGGTGGGAGACCCCGGCTGGGTGCTTTCTGGGTTTCACTGGGGTTAGAAGTCAAGCGTCGCTCAGCCTTTTCCTCTCTAAGTCGTAGGGGAGTCTAAGACAGGGTCCCATACACCTAGCCTGTGCTCACCGGAGACCCCGGTGCCGAGTGCCGGGGACAGAAAGTGGAAGGTGGGTCCCCTCTGAGGGACCAGTGAACGAGCTATGCCTAGAAAGTACCAGTCGCTCTGCTCTCTCTCAAAGCTCGCTTCAACGTCATCTCGGGAAGGTCTTTCCTGACCCCCTGTTTCATAGTGGCACTCACCCTCCCCGGCTCCCCCTCTGCTCTCTTCTGCTCCTTCACCATCTGTCAGATGGTAATTTCCCTGCTTAGCTGGCCCTCTCTCTCTCTCTCTCTCTCTCTCACTCTGCTAGAGTGAGGGAAGGGGTTTTTGTTTTACTCGGTGACTAATCCCCAGTTCCTAGAGCAGGGACTGGCACATAGTAGGTGTTCAGCGAATGTTGACTAAATCTGCAGACCTGGTGTGCATCTCCTAAATGTTTGCTGGGAAGGGGCTCTCTGGGCAAGTGAAGAAATTGATGACCACTGACTAGATTCCCCAAATAGCATGGGGGGGGGGGCACCGAGAGTCCAAAAAAGCTATGCTGATTTCCACTGGCTTTCTGTTGCCTTTGCAATCAAATCCAAATTCCCCCCAGGCACTTCCTTCTGCACTTCCCGGCACATGCCAGACTACACCTCACTAGCCTTAAGTTCCTGGACGCTCCAAGCTCGTTCACACCTCAGGGCTTTTGCACTTGCTGTCCTTGCTACCTGATGGCTTGTCCCTCAGGCGGTCCCATGGCTGTGGGGCCTCGGCTCCAATGTCCCTTTTCCTTAGTTACCCCACCACAGATCACAGCTGCATCTTATTGTCTGCCTAGCACTTAGCAAGGTCTGAAACTATCTCGATCATTTATTTACACAACGTACTGGTTTATTGGAGGATCTCGACCATCTTACTTCTCCTAATTGCTTTATTCTGTCACACTCTGTTGAGCCCCCCGCTTCCCACTGGGGCTTCATGCGGGGCGATCCCACACAACGCAGGGGCTCTCGGTTATGAGAACTCAGACCAGACCAGCTCAAAACTCGGTCTTGGCTCAGAGCTCCTCTACAGGAGGGGCGGGAAGTGGGGAGCAAGAGCGCGGTCTTGTCCTCTCTCTGGGGTGACTCGGAGCAGAGGGGTCCGGGGAGGGCAGCTTCTGTCTCCCTGGCCTGCTTTCGGTCTGTTTCCATTTGCATGCCAGGCTCTTGTGGCTGGCACTCAGGAGGGTCCTCTGGGGGTGGTCCCCTCTCGCCAACACCACATCTACCCTCCCTCCCTCCTCTTGACCGCTCCTCGCTCTTCTACAAACAGGGAAGGGTAAAGCGCACGGCTGGGGGTGGGGTGGGGGTTTCCTGGCGCCTCCATCACGCCCTGGGGGAGGTGTCTGGCCCCCAGCCTTTTGTCCTCTCTTTGCCACAGCTGTGGGTCCCAGTAACCCATGCTGGAGCAACTGGAAATGTCCCCTCCGTGCCTCCTCGGTTGTTTCTGGAAGGTTCTGGGCCACGTGACACGAGATCTGCAGCTGGGCGGTGCAGGCGCCTAGAAAAACGCCCCGCATGTTGTAGGGAGGGCTCAGTCGGAAGCCTGCTGTGGCCACTTGGCGTTCGTGTGAGGCCACTTCTAGAGGAAGGGGCGGGGAAGGGCTGGCGTGCCGACTCCGCGCGCCCGATGTCTTTCACCCGTTACTTCTCGTGGTGCCCTTGAGGGGCAGCCTCACCGACCACGTTTGCAGATGGGAAGACTCCCACCCACCCCAGGCCACGCCAAGCCAGGTGGGGGGTGGGGGGTGGCGGGGAAGGGGCAGCGGCTGCGAGCAGGGCTCTGGAGTCCAGCATCGTGGTCTAACACCCCTTGGCTAAGTTATTTAATTCTGCCTCCAGCTTCTCATCTGTAGAAGTGGGGCGAGAAGCCTGCGCTGCAAGGATTAAATTAGCCAATATACGTCATGTGCTTAGCGCAGGCAGAGACGCAGCCGGCCATAAACGGGACCCACAGTGATTTTCGTGACCACCACTGGCATCAGGACAAACCCAGGTCTGTCCACCCCGGAGTGGGCTCTCTGCACAGAGCGGGAGGGGGGCAGGCTGAGGGAGGGCGATGAAGCCCTCGGGGGCCGAAAGAAGCCAAAGGCCCCCCGGGGGCGGTGACAGGTGGCCTTCCCGGCCAGCCCGTGGCCCCCAGCCCTGATGTAAGAGGCAATGACGAGCCTCTGGGAGTCTTTAATCAGGGGAGCAGGAGGGTGCATGTGGGGTTTTAGGAAGATTAATCTGGCAGCAGGCACAGGATGGAAGAGAGTCAAGCTTAGCACAAAGAATCATGACGGCTGCCCGGCTCTGAGAGGCGGGTCAGTAAGGGAAGGTGGCCTGGTTCTCGGCTCCCTGGGCACTTGGGGTTCCCGGCAGCTGGGGAGAGGCCGGCAGAGAGCACTGTCGGGTCAGTGACAGCAGCGCCTGCAAGGGCTCTGGTACGTGGATGGCACAGCAGGCAGCGAAGTGAATCCGTGATTTCAAGACAGTGACGGCCCCTCCCCCGCGCGGCCGCTTCCCAGCTGACATCCCGGTGTGGGCCGCGCTCGGTGCAGACCCTCCAGGGCGGGCAGGACCACCGACTCTAACGAGTGCAGGGCCACCAAGGTTCTCCCCAGGCTGCTCTGGGATCTGGCGGCCAAGGAGCAGGACGGAACGGGGGCTGCCCTGGCCAAGAACGGAAGGAGCTGTTGCTTCTACATCTTATTTTATTTGAAGCCGTCATGAGATTTTGGATCTCATCCCCGAGGAGGCTCCCCGGGCAGCACGGCGCCTGGTGAGGCACAGCCCACCCCGGCTCTCACAGCAGCGCCCGGAACACCTCCACCTTCTCGTGGTACAAGTGGTGGAACTGCTTGGCCAGGCAGTGGAAGGGAGCTTCGTAGTTCTCCATCTCCTTCTGTAGACACAAGTTTAAGAAGCCGTGGCTGTTATGGGATCATCGAGACCGGGAGCCGGCACTCCCTCACTCCCACCTCACGTCGCTGCCTGTCCCCTCCCCGGCAGGGCCTGCGACTCCTGCACCGTTTTTGCAAGAAGGACACGGAGATGCAGGTTGGTTAAGGTAACGGGCCAAAAGCCACACACCCGTCAGTGGTGAAGTTTGGTCTGCACCTAGATGTTTCTAGAGCCTGTACTTTTGGGCACACTCACCACGTGTGATGGGAGATTAGAATGAGACTCTTCCGCCCTTGGGTTTGACTGGGGCCCCAAAGGCCAAAGCGAAATAACGGCAAGGATGCCCACAGTCACCTCAAGTCAGGCAAGGCTGTGGCACTGACCCCTGGGGTGCCTCTCCCTCACCCCAAGCCCAGCAGGAGTCTCCCAGAGGAAGCTGAGGCCCAGGGGCTCAGGCCAGAGCTGGAGGCAGGCCTGGGAAGCATCGAGGTCCGCCTGGGGCCGGCTGCTTTGAGGGCCCAGCCAGGAGACGGCCGCAGCAGCCCTGCCCTGGACCAGCGGCGGCCGAGTGGGGAGCTGGCCTGGCATGGCCTTGAAGGGACCCCGCAGGGACACGCTCCAGGAGGGCAACCGCCCCAACAAGAACAGAGGCCCAGGGAGCCAGGGAGCAGGCGGGCGAGGAGGGGTCGCCTGTCATCTGCAGGGGATGGGAGGCTCAGCCATTGGGCCCAGGAAGGGGTGTCCCGGCCTGGGGGGGCCAGACTGACACCCGACAAACCCAGAGGGGCCGAAGCAGGACCTCTGCCCACTGGTCTGACTTCCCACGGCGGGTGTGGCCAGAGGCGCAGATGCTAAGTCATTAGGGGCCTTCAGTCACCCAGCACCATGTGTGTTCGTCACTGAAACGAGTGTTTTGTGACTAAGGGTGCCCAAAGGACTTTTTGTTCTCGGAGAGATGAGAAAGGTTCCGGAAGTGGCCCTCGGCTTTCTCTCTGGGGATGGGGGACGGGGGAGGGGGAAGAGCCAGCCCTCCAGGGGAGCATGGATGAGCTCTAGGGGGAAAGAGAAGGGTCGCCTCTCCACCTAGCTATTGCTCTCATTCTCCATGTGCCCGTGGGCGTCTTTTACTTATTCACTTTTTTTTTTTTTTTTTTTTAACAAAATAAGTGGTCAGAAGAAAGAGCCCACTCCTTTGCTCCTTCCAGGGCAGAAGCTCAGCTGTGGACGTAAGGGAATGGGTTTTCACACAATCTTGGGCCAATGGCCCAGGTGCAGGCTAGACAAGAGGCAACCATATACCCTCAACGAAAGGGAAGGATTTCCAAACTGAAGAATGTTCGGGAGTCATCGGGCCCACTACTCTCATTTTGCAGGGGCACAGTCTGCAGCCCGGGGCAGGGGGACGGCAGTGCGGTAGAGGAGCTGGTGCGTGCAGAGCAGGGCCAAGGATTTGAACTCCCCAACTTTCCGCGTCACCAGCTGGGGCGGCGGATCTCACGGAAACCAGTTCTCACGGATCATGCTACCTGGGCGTTCTCACAAGGGACATGCCAACGTGAAGGAGACAGGTTGGCGGAGAGCAGACGTGGGGGGGCCCGTGCTGAGGAAGAAGGGGGGAGTCCGTAGCCGAGATGAGAGCCTGCACTAAGGCCCCCACCATCAGGGGCCAGCAGCCCTCCAGTCGGGCAGGAGAGATAGTCAGTCACACCTGCAAGGCACCTTCAGCTGCACAGAGCATAACGTCCTGGACACCATCAATGTTAAACAGTAAAACGTTACACTGGCTGAAAGCATAGTTAGGTAATGGGCACAAAGAGAATGAGGCTGACGCAGGACACACACAGGGATTTCTAAACAAATTTGAAAGCTCCCGGAAGCAAGATCTGGGGGATGCAGACATAACAACTTATGGACTCCAGTGGAGACGAGCCTCTGTCCACACCAGGGGGCACTCCCAAAGTTGCAGATATAACGGAACCACTTTCTGAGTGCGTTAAGAGGGTTTGCCAATGACAGGAATCCTGGGGTCCTTCTGTTAACTAATCATAACGTCACTGACATACCGCAGAGGACGTCTGCCTTGTGCGAAAGATCCTTAGAGCAGGCTCTCAGACCAATGTTCACTCTGGCCCTGAGAGTCCCAAAGTTGGTTCTGTGGGAGGCCAGAGCTCCTTCTAGAAGGTTCTCAAGCTAGCCTGGCCTGCATTCTAGTCCTGGTTTGACTGCTCATAAGCTGGGCAGCCAGGGAGAGCCACATGACCTTTCTTTTTTTTTTTTTTTTTTTTAATATTTTTATTTATTTCTAGGAGAGAGAGAGAGAGAGACAGCGTGAGCAGGGGAGGGTCAGAGAGAGAGGGAGATACAGACTCTGAAATAGGCTCCAGGCTCTGAGCTGGCAGTCAGCACAGAGCCCAATGCGGGGCTCGAACCCACGAACCGTGAGATCATGACCTAAGCGAAAGTCGGACGCTTAACCAACTAAGCCACCCAGGCGCCCCGCCACATGACCTTTCTGAGTCAGTGGATAATGTGTGCAAACACCTAGCCCGTAGCAGGCACTCAACAAACGTCAGCTCCCCACCCTCCCCACCCGCAAGAGGAGCCCTCCTCAAGAAGGAGGGGAACCTTCTTGAACTCGCTTTGTGTTTCATGTGTCCTATGCTGATGGATACTTTTTACTTTTATATTTTGACTTGCTTAAAATGATGCTTCTTAAGTTTCTGGTCTGAAAATGTCTAGTCTCGAGGAGTGTCAGAAAGTCTAAGAGGAACCGCGAAAGACCCCAAATGGCCAAAGCGACTGTGGGAATGAACAACAAAGTTGGAGGTGTCAACATGTCCTGACTTCGAACTATACTGTAAAGCCATAGTAATCAAAACACTATGGTCCTGGCATAAAAACAGACATGAAGGCCAACGGAACAGGATCGAGATCCCAGAAATAACCCCCAGCATACACGGGCAACATATTTGACAAGGGAGCCAAGAATATACGATGGAGAAGAGACAGTCTCTGTGACGATGATGTTGGGAAGACCCATGCAAGCGAACGAGACTTTCACACCATTCACAAAAATAAACTCAGAATGGACTCAAGGTTTGAACTGAAGACCTAAAGCCATACAAGTCCTAGAAGAAAACATTGGGAAAAAGCTCTTGGACATGGAACTTGGCAATGATTTTATGGATATAGTAGCAAAGCACAAGCCACAGAAGCAAAAATCAACAAATGGGACTACATCAAACTAAAAAGCTTCCCGCACAGCAAAAGAAACAACAAAACAAAAGGGTAGGGGCGCCTGGGGGCCTCGGTCAGGTAAGCGTCCGACTTTGGCTCAGGTCATGATTTCATGGCTCGTGGGTTCGAGCCCCGCATCGGGCTCTGGGCTGACAGCTCGGAGCCTGGAGCCCGCTTTGGATCCTGTGTCTCCCTCTCTCCCTGCCCCTCCCCTGCTTGTGCTCTCTCTGTGTGTCTCAAAAATAAATAAACATTAAAACAAAACAAAAAAACGAAAGGGCAGCCTATGGAATGGGAGAAAACATTTGCAAACTGCACATCTGATAAAGCGTTAATACCCAAAATATATAAGGAACTTGGATAACTCAATAGGGAAAACATAAATAATCTGACTTTAAAATGGGCAGGGGAGCTAACAGACATTTTTCCAAAAAGGATATTCAAGTGCCCAAACGGTACATGAGAAGGTGCTAGACACCACTCACCCGCGGGGAAATGCAAATCGAAACCAGGATCAGATATCATCTCGCACTTCTTGGGATGCCTATTACCTGAAAGAAGAGGTACCACTAGCAGGTGCTGTGGGAGGACCAGGATGTGGAGGGAAAGGGAGCCCTTGCACTGCTGGTAGGAATGCAAACTGGTGCAGCCACTCTGGAAAATGGTGCGAAGTTTAAGTGAACTGTTGAAAAGAGAACGGTGACTCAACAATCCCGCCTCTGCGTAAATACTCAAAGGAAATGAAATCACTGCCTCGAAGAGACGTCTGCACCCTCATGTTCGCTGCAGCACCATTCATAACAGCCCAGATACGGAAACGACTTCAGTGTTCGCCAACAGATGAATTAAGGGCACTGTGGTCTGTGTATGTGCATAATGGAACACCATTCAGCCACGAAAGGGAAGGAAACCCTGCTCTCTGGCACAACGTGGCTGAACCTCAAGGGCATGACGCTAAGTGAAAGGAGTCAGACAGAGAAAGACAGATACTGCACCTTCTCGCTTGCACGTGGAATCTAAAGAAACCAAAGTCACAGAAGCACAAAGGAGATGGGGGGCGTTGCCAGGGGCGGTGGGGGAAATGGGTGAAGGCGCCAAGTCCCAGTTTTAAGATGAGTAAGTTCTGGGGACACCAGGGGCGCTCGGTTGGCTAAGCGTCCAACTCTCAGTTTCCGCTCAGGTTGTGATCTCACAGTTCGTGGGTTCGAGCCCCACATCAGGCTCTGCGCTGGCGGCATGGAGCCTGCTTGGGATTCTCTCTCTCTTCCTCTTTCTCTCTGCCCCTCCCACACTTACGCTTTCTCTCTCTCAAAATAAAATAAACTTAAAAAAAAAAGAGAGATGAGTAAGTTCTGCAGATGGAATGAGAAAGGAAGAAAGAGAGTCAAACCATCTTGGGCATCCCTCCTTCGGGCCTGCAGGACCTCACCGCTGCGCGTGGTAAGGAGAGTGGAGACAGGCTCTAGGTGTCAGGACTCAGCCGCGTCTCAAGCAGCCTGGCTTATATTTCCTCTTTAATTACAGCTTTCGTAACTAGCGTCAGCTCGGGGGACTAGTTAACTTACAGTTAATACCAAGTGCTTAACTGCAGCCTCCTCAAGCATAATTTATACCCACACGATTTGAGAGCGAAGCAACACACACCTACACAGAGTTTTAACCCGCAGCCCAGCGGTCTGTGACGGCTACCGTGTTGGGGGGGGAAGTGTTAAGTTTTGGGTCCCACCAAGAGTTCTGGGGACCACGGGATACTGGGGTGGGGAGGCCATTTCACAAATGTGAATGGAGGCAGAGGGAATACTAAGATACAGCAAGACCTTGGTTTGCAAGCATAATTTGTTCTGGAAACATCCTCATCATCCAAAACACTCCTATATCAAAGCGAATTTCAAGAACCACTGACTCAGGTGTGATCATGTGACGTTTGGCGTCCCATCCTACCCGTATTACAAGACATTGCTCATTTGCCAAGTTAAAATTTATCAGAAATGTTTGCTCAGGGCGCCTGGGGGGCTTGGTCGGTTAGGCATCTGAGTCTCAGCTTCAGCTCAGGTCATGACCTCACGGTTTCATGGGTTCAGGCCCCGCATTGGGCTCTGCACTGATGGTGTGGCACCTGCTTGGGATTCTCTCTCTCCCCACCTCTCTCTCGGCCCCACCCCTGCTTGCGCGGTCTGTTTCTTTCAAAAGAAATAAATACACTTTAAAAAATGGGAAAAAAAAGTTTGCTCGTCTTGCGGAACATTCGCAGATCAAGTTACTCGCAATCCAAGGTTTCACCGTATGGCTTGATGTGGGTGGCACAGCGGACCGAGGGCACAGGGCACGAAAGATGAGAAACCCCCTATACTAAAAAGCCCACGCATCTGAATTTCATTAGTATAGCATTTGTGATCATTGGGCCAGAAGGCAAGAGGGACATTTACCTTTGTAGAATCTAGGAACACAATAATTTGAGGGAACCATAGTCTACAGAACATTACTGGGGGGAAGAGTTCCGTGTAAGAAAGCAAGTATTTACTGGGTGTATGCTATATAATTGGGCCAATGTTTTCATATTCCCCATCTGACTTAATTCTCCTGTTTGTCACTTAACGAGGAATATATTTTATGATCCCCATTTTACAGGCGAGGAGCCTGGGGCACCAACAAATTAACGAACGAGCCAAGGGCCCCACAGTTAGTTGAGCTACTTCAACATCGGCAGGCACACCATTTGCCTTCACCCGCTACACTTTCCCAAGGAAGCAGGCTGCCGGGGAGGGGGGATGGGGGGATGTAAAAGGTTCACATCCGCACGGCAAATGAAGAGCAACATTTGCCAAGGTTTGTAATCGCGATGGCAGAAGTGCCTGTAGCCTCCAGGCTATGAATGAACTTGCCCGCTGATGCTTCTGGGGGTCCAATTATCAGGCCCGGGGCCCACAAGGCCGGGAGTGAGGTTCAAGGGACAACCACTGGCGTTTCTGGCTGTGCGGGGCCCGGCGAGTCTCCGTGACAGCCCTGGAGAGGGGCGTCACAGCCAACCCGGGGGCCCCTGCTGCCTCTGAAATGGATGTTTTTGGGCCACTCCTTCAAGAGCAAGCTGTCACTTTACCCCTCTCCATAAGGTCTCATTGGTGCAGCCTGGGTCGCACGCCTGAGCCCGGCTGCTGGGAGGCTGGGGCTTCGAGTCTCGAACAGAGGAAAGGGCTCCCCAGTGCTGGGCGGCCAGCATCGTGCTACGGTGCACTGAGGGTGCCGGCAGCAGGTCCCTCGGGCTCTTGTCCCCTTTCACAAGGACTCCTGCTCACTCTAGGAGGAGGATACTTTGTGGCCTGGAGTCCCCCTGCGGCTGCAGCAAGGTGGGACGGGGAGCCATGGCTCATAGCTGTGGCTCACCGCTTTCCCTGTCATGTGACCTTGAGCAAGTCCCTTCACCTCCTCAGCACGGAAGCGGGGGTTAGGCCCATGGTCCCGCGAGGACCGTGAAATACTGTCCCGGCAGCCCCGTAATCCATACCACCTCACGCAATTGCCAAGGGTCGCTGCAATCGAACGCAATGCACTTGGATTTCTTATTAACTGAGATACAACTTTTCCCAGGCCGGCCAGCCCGTCTGCTTTACTGTAGCGCGCACAGCTCTGGCTCTGTTGAGAAAAGATCCCGTACCAGGAACGGGAACATCAGTTCCAAATCAGAACCTGCACAGGGCGGAGGATCGACTCGATGCCCGTGAGGTCATGTGAGACGCCACCCACGGCAGAGGCCCACTGCAGACTTGGCCGCGGAGCAAGCCGGGGTACTTACCACGGAGGTTTCAAAACATTCCAGGCCTTGGCCCAGGGCCCACGCCCGGGCCTGCGCCGAATCCACCACCCGTCTGCTGGCCAGGTCTGTCTTGTTGCCCACCAGCACACCTGCTCGAAAGAAACAACCAAAGCATCACCTTGAACTGTGGCAGCCCGGGGCGGGGGCGGGGGTGGGGGTGGGGAGACAGCTGGAGACATAAAAGAGCAAAGCACACGAATTTGAGGGGTGTAAAACATTGGGAGAGGCTGCCTGATTGGAGGTGGCGAGCACAGGGAGAGAGAGAAGCTTCGGAGGGCCGCAGGGGAGCGGGGTGGGGGATGGGGCTTCACTCATCACACACAGCTTTTGCTCAGCCCTTTTCCTAGACTCCCTGCGGACCTGTCTGCCTTGTCTCCTTACGGCTGCAAAGCCCGGGCCAAATTTATGTGAGCGTTCCTGATCATTCCTAGCACATGGAGCAAACGTTAAAAATGGTCATTAATACTAATCTAAGGACTGGGCTCCGAGTCAGGGACTCAGAGGTAATTTAGTCCCGTTCCCAGCTGCATCAGCTGCAACTAATTTCTGAGCCCGTCTCTGGAGATCGCTTTCGCTGGTCTCTAATGAGGGGAATTTGTTGATCTCACATAGGGATGAAAAATAAACTGATTTAAAGCATTCAGAAGTGACAATAGGACTTGAATGTTTACTTGCACCCCACATGCAGGAGAAAATGAGGGATTCATCCCCAGGGCCAGCTCTCAGAAATAAGAACTCAATCACGTCACCGCGCCTTCCCCATGTCGAGTCTCCTCTCCTTCACCTCGCAAGGGTGGGTGGGTGGGGGGCACGATCTGCCCATTTTACAGACTCGCGGAGGTGTGGGGTGACTCTGCCAAGAGGCAGAGCCACTGTACGATCCAGACCGCCATACTCGAAGCCAGGGGCACCCCGTTTTACACCCGTAGCCACCTCTGCAATGACCTTGTGCTCGGGAACCTGGGGGACAGAGGTGCTCCTGGAAAACCTACCTGGGAGGGAGGTGCCTGGGGCCTGGGACCGGGCCTTCTCCAGCCACTTGCTGCAGTTGGCGAAGGACTGCTCGTTGGTCACGTCATAGACGAGACACAAGACATTGGGACTCTCCCACTGTGCGGGACAGACGGGATGAGCACATGTCAGTGGTGCACGTGATTCCTAGGCTGGGACAAGACCTGGCCTTCCAAGGGAAGGGACGGGGCGGGGTGGGGGGGGTCACCTCTCCTAAGGACAAGAGTCAGGAAACGGAGCCAACCCGCAGGAGTTGAGTCGAAGAAAACAATTCCCCCAAAAGAACGAGTGGGAGGGCGGGGGCTCACCTCTGCGCCAGGCCATCTGCTGGGTGCGTTCTGTGCATGGTTGAGAAACTTCCAGACCCTGCAGGGCCAGCCTCAATATCCCTACTGCCTCGCTAAAGACACTGGGTTCAGAGAGGGTAACTGACTTGCCCAGATCAGACACGCGTTAAAGACTGGGGTAGGACGGAGGCGTTTTTCCCCCCAGAAATGCTCAGGCGTGCCACTGCGTTCGTTCATTCATTCCTTGTCGCATTCTTTGCCCGCTTTCATGCAAGTTATTATGTTTTCCTGCTTTGCAGGCCTAATAGGCATCCTTTGTTCTTTTTTTAAATATTTTTATTTATTTGTAGGAGAGAGAGAGAGACAGCGTGAGCAGGGGAGGGTCAGAGAGAGAGGGAGACACAGACTGAAACAGGCTCTAGGCTCTGAGCTGGCAGTCAGCACAGAGCCCGACGTGGGGCTCGAACCCACGAACCGTGAGATAATGACCTAAGCGAAAGTCGGACGCTTAACCGACTAAGCCACCCAGGAGCCCCTAGGCATCCTTTCTTCTATTAGCCGCCCACGGGAAGCTCGTTTGCCTGCATCTTCTTAATAAGGGCTGGCTTTTCAAACCGGAAAGGGCACCTTCTACTTCTCCTGCAGTGTGTCACCCTGACCCAAACCAGACCAACAATGCGACAAGGCTCACCATCCCAATTAAGAACCAGGGCCGTGCCCTTGAGGCTTGTCACCTTCAGGGGCTGCTCAGAGCCCTGGGACGCCCTGTTGCCTGGCTCAGGGGCACAGGACAGCCCTGCTCAGGCTGATGCCTGTCCTGGTGCATGAATCCCTTGCTGTGCCCCAGGCTCCGGGGACCCTCCCCTCCCCCCCGTCCCGTCCTGCACCGTTACAGCCTGGTTTATCGCTGGTGTATCAGTAACCCCCAGGGTGTGGGGAAGAGTCCTTTCCCTCCAGTTGTCCTTGGAAGGCCAGCCCAGGACTGGCTTTCGAGGGCTCGCTCCATCCCAAGGCTACACTGCCACTTTGACCGAGCTCGGTGAACCTTCGCTCGGCAGACTGACTCGAGGACTCTCTCTTGATCTCCCCTTTTGTGGATGTAAAAGACACCTCCTTGCTCTAGGCCTCAGTGGGGCCACCCAGGATGGGCCGGGGATGGAGCCGGAGCCAGCACAGGAGCCCCGAGTCCGGGTGTGAGCTGATCAGTGTGCAGTGGCCCTGACTTGCCCAGACACATCTTCCCTTCTGCCCAGCAGGCCAGCACCCAGGGCGAGGCCGTGCACCCAGCAGGCACGCTGCAGACGCCATGGGTAGATGCATGAAGCCAAGCCCAGGAGAGATGACAATCATGAGATCTCCATGTCTTAGACAATGAAAAAGGGGCAGAGCGCGATTTCTATTAAAACGGGCTGTTCTTGGAAAGGCAGGGGAGGGCTCGGGAGGGCTCACACCTTCTACTCCGCTCACTGGCCCAGATTAGCGGAACGGTTACTTTGGAAGGTACAGCAAGCGGGATCCCGAGAAGACGGCTGGGTGGGCAGGATAAGCACAGGGTGGCAGCAGGGACAGGGGACACCGGGCCCAGGGCCGGGCCGGGCACGTCAGCCTGTTGCTACAAGAAGAAGGAAGTATTTGCTCCTGTCCCAGGAGGTCAGGGAGTACTGAGAAGAGGGGCCCAGAGTGCCGTGGGGACTGAGCCACATGACTCCAGCACATTCTGAACCCTGGCCCTTCCAGCGCTGGGGGAGGGGGAATCACATGCATGAGGCGGTCCTCCAGGCCAAGAAGCCACAAGTCCCAAGGCTGGGGGGGGGATGGCCCTTAAAGAACTCCGCCTTAGAAGCTCCTCCAGGCAGCCAGGCTGCAGTGACATTGCTAGAAAGCAGCGAAGGGGGGGGGGGCGCCTGGGTGGCTTAGTCGGTTAAGCGTCTGACTTTCGCTTAGGTCATGATCTCGCGGTTCATGGGTTCGAGCCCCGCGTCGGGCTCTGTGCTGACTGCCAGCTCAGAGCCTGGAGCCTGTTTCGGAGTCTGTCACTCCCTCTCTCTCTGACCCTCCCCTGCTCACGCTGTCTCTCTCTCTCTCTCTCTCCTAGAAATAAAT